TACAATAGCCCGGAGATGGAAACAACCTAAGTGCCCATCATCGGATGAATGGATAAAGAAGATGTGGCACATATATACAATGGAATATTACTCGCCATAAAAAGAAACGAAATTGAGCTATTTGTAATGAGGTGGATAGACCTAGAGTACATCATACAGAGTGAAGTAAGTCAGAAAGAGAAGGACAAATACCGTATGCTAACACATATATATAGAATTTAAGGAAAAAAATGTCATGAAGAACCTAGGGGTAAGACAGGAATAAAGACACAGACGTACTGAAGAACGGACTTGAGGATATGGGGAATAGGAAGCGTCAGCTGTGACAAAGCGAGAGAGAGGCATGGACATATATTCACTACCAAACATAAGGTAGATAGCTAGTGGGAAAACAGCCGCATAGCACAGGGATATCAGCTCGGTGCTTTGTGATCGCCTGGAGGGGTGGGATGGGGAGGGTGGGAGGGAGGGAGACGCAAGAGGGAAGAGATATGGGAACATATGTATATGTATAACTGATTCACTTTGTTATACAGCAGAAACTAACACACCATTGTAAAGCAATTATACCCCAATAAATATGTTAAAAAAAAATAAAATAAAATAAATGCCTACTGATTGCTGTCAGGAAGAAATGAAAAATAAACTCATTACATTAAGCCCGTGTTTAAGGCAAATGTTTTATGTAGAGAAAAAATGTAAAAGGCTTTACCTGACATAGTGTATAAGCGCTGAAACCAGTTTTCTGTCTCAGTAAGCCAGCTGCTTTCCCTGTAGGTGCTGTAAGTAAAACTTCTATAGCCTTGCCCGGCTTCGGCTGACTCTGCTCGGTGAAGGTAATCCATTCTTCTGGTACATTCTGGTCTTGTTCAAAATCTTCACAAGCCTTTTTCACTTCTCCTTCTTCCAACAGCTCTATATGCTTAAAAAGCTGGCTAACAATTGTGGTCTTCCCACTACCACCTTTCCCACTGATGACTGTCACAGCATTGGAGCAAATCATGTCCAAAGCAGCCACCTGATCCTGATCCAGTTGGACTTCACTTATTTCTGCCTTAACTTCATTTTCACCATTATCCCAAATATGGTCACCGCTGTCCTCCTGCGTGTCGCAAATATCCACAGGATTTTCTAATCTTGTTTCGTCAGGTTCACTTTTATTTAGCGTATCATCACTTTCTGAATTCTCAGGTCTTGTGGTGTGAATAGACGCAAGCACCTTTTTGACATCAACATGTAATCGCCATGGCGACCTTGTCATCAGGTCACAGATTGAAGAGGCAATGCCTCTTTCAGCCTGGTAAAGGTCATAAAGAAAGACACAGCCTTTCTCATACGTCACCACACCGATATCCTTCAAGAACTTCAGAGACTGCCAAGCATCATGAAAAGACATGCGGTCTGACAATTCAGAAGTTAAGTCAGCTTCTTCAACACACGTGTGCCCTTGCTCTCTACACATCCGCTTCAGTTCAGAATATATTACTAATGCATTCTTCTCCAAATCAGTCATCAACTGGAGAAGAGATCTGCACTGACAAAACGATGTCCAACTTGCCTCACATTGCAGAAGCTTCAACTGTCTGTAGGTTATCTTTAAGAAAAGTAAATTCAAGTTTGCTTTATAAAAATTATAAATATTTTTATAATTGACTATTAGATGACTATTATGAGAATTACAGTGAAAACTATGGTGTTTAATAATAATTTTTTAAGTTCCAGAAGACATGTGTTTCAACAAAATTTGGGGAAAAAAGAACTATGTACCTAATACATCACTAATTTTTTTTAATTAACTGTATTGTGATTAGAGATCTATATAATTTCATAATTAAAATTATGTTTTTTCAAAGCACTACACATACAGTTTTAAGAGTCAAATAACACTATGAGACTTATCACAAAAAATAGGAATCCTCTGACTTACCCTTTCCATGCCTTCTAAAGGCAACACCCTCAACATTTTCAGTTATTTCTTCCAGAATTTATCTCCACATTTCTATGTATTGTTTATTCCTTAATTTCTTAAAAAAATTTAGGTAATTAGTTAACTCCTTACTATGGAAAGTCTTTCTTCATGCAAGTTTGCTCCCTTTGTACTGTCACTTTCACACATGCTTCTCTTCACGCGGGCCTCTCACTGTTATGGCCTCTTCCGTTGCGGAGCACAGGCTCCAGACGCGCAGGCTCAGTGGCCATGGCTCATGGGCCCAGCCGCTCCGCGGCATGTGGGATCTTCCCGGACTGGGGCACGAACCCGTGTCCCCTGCATCGGCAGGCGGACTCTCAACCACTGCGCCACCAGGGAAGCCCTCTTCCTCCCATCTTTGAGAAAGGTTAATAGTATACATTTTGAAAACTGATTTTTGTTAAATCAGTGTAAACAGGATTCACGGCTGAGTGACGTGATATGCTGTGATTACATTAACTTTGTGTTGAACTCTCGTGTATATTGTGAAGTTACTGACTGCCTCATTTTCTTGGCTTGTTTAGTTTTCCATGTGCCTATCAACAATTCTGCCCAAACTCCACTGAAAAGGTACAGAGCTTCCTTCACCATGATCCACTAAGTAGGTCGTCTACCAGCTCCATTTTTATTTTTTCCATGGAGACATCACCCCTGGAGCCCTCCATACATTTTATGGGCTGAAATGTGTCCCCCCCCAAAATTCGTATGTTGAAATCCTAACACCCAGTACCCCAGAATGTGACCATATTTGGAGATAGGGTCTTTAAGGAGGTAATTAAGTTAAAATGAGATCACTGGGGTGGGCCCTAATCCAATATGACTGATGTCATAAGATTTTAGGACCCAGACAAGCACAGAGGGAAGACCATGTAAAGACACAGGAAGAAGACAGCCATCCATAAGCTAAGGAGAGAGGCCTCAGAAGAAACCAACCCTGCTGGCACCTTGACTTTGGATTTATAGCCTCCGGAACTGTGAGAAAATAAATGTCTGTGGTTTAAGGCACCCAGTCTATGCTGTTTGTTACAGCAGCCCTAGCAAATGAATACAAAACCTCAGTAAAAGTCTTTATTCTGGGTGGTGGTTTACATGCTGAAAAGGGGACTTGAGTCCCACTTGAGTCCCAGAAGGCTTATTGCTCTGCTTCTCTCTTTCCTACTGAATAAATATATATAATAATCTAATGTTCCAGAATCTCATTTTTCCAAGCATACTGAAATCATAGTCATTTTATAGAGGGAACAAATTCATTATTCCAGTATTTCTCAAAGGGGGGGCAGGATCTGTAAACATTCTTGGGGATCCCACCAATTATCTCAGAATTTTTAAATTGTATTTTCATTTGGAAAACCACCTATAACCAAGTACTGCCAAGATTTAAGTGCCACATTTGGTTTTCAACATCTCTGGAGCTTCACGGTGCCACTTTACTACTCCTGGTCTCTCATAAGAAAAACAGAAGTGCCAAAGAAATTGTAAATAACATTATTGTGCCAAAGAAAAAAAATCAAATGGCATCATCATTACCATATGAATAATGAAGGTCTTCGAAAGTTCAAATAGGAAAGTGAGGAACTGCGTAGCAGAGCAGAATAGACTTGCCAAACACACAAGAACTTGTCTTCGATGAGCTCTATATTCAAGGTGCTATGGCAATTCAGTTACAAAAAATGTCATATGAAATTAAATTATGTAACTGAAGTATTGATAATTTGAATGTCATTTATTTTGTTATTTTGTTTTCCTTTGTAAATTTATTGCATAAGAGCTACAGGTAGAAGAAGTTTATATTTAGTTGCAACACTGCAAGGAAAATAAATCCACACTGAAGTCATACAAATTTCTTTCCCTTGAAAGAGATACAAAAAACTGTCAAGCTTGAGACATCCTCCCTTGTATAAGATTACAAAATGCTAAGCAAATATCTTTCTTACTTTACGAAATCCGAGCTTCCATGGCTGTGTACCTAAAATCTCTTCTATCTCTTCCAACACCTCTGTAGAATCTGAGCTTATGAGCCGTTTAAAGTGTCGGGGCAGAAGAACTGGAAGGAATTCCATTATTTTTGGGAACTGCAAAGCTCTCATCACAGTTATAAATGGAACTACAGGATATCAGAAAAGAACAAATAAAAACATACAAATGAGCTCATAGAACAACTGATTTGATGGACTTTCTCATTTAGCACAACCAGTTTAAGAAATCCAAATCAAAGACAGAGTAATAAATTTACTGTGACCAGCAAGAAAAGTGATTGTATTATAACACTTGCTTTTGTATCAAGATGGTTTTCATTGTGTTTAACACCAAAATTTATGTTCTTCAACTGCTTAGATAGCTACTTCTTAGCCTTTTGTTTCCTTCTGCTTGCAGAAGAATCAGAATAAAATTTCTGACTCAATAATATATAAATTTAAAGCTAAGCATTAAAAATCATTTACATATTAATCTTTATAGTCATTCTTCTTACTGTAATCATGATGCTTTCATCATTGAAATCATTCAATGATGTACTGCCAAATTTATTTGATAAAATTAAGAAATGAAATATTCCATATATGTGAATGTCCAGATAACAAACCATATTTAGAAGTTATTTTAAACTATTTTGAACTGAAATCTTTCCAAAATGGATTGCTCATATTCTTGCCTTTCTTCTCTCCCTTCTGAAACAGAATAATTGATAACTGAACTTCTTCTTAATGACTCAAGGTAATCCTAGGACACAAAAGTTAGAGAGAGACCTAGAATCACACTTTGGAGCAGGAAAGGAACTAAAAGGTGTTTAAAGATCATCTCACCCAATCTCTTCACATTACAGATGAGGAACCTGCAATGTCAATGACATACTCCAAAAGCAATACAAACACATTTCATCAAACCGATTTAAAAAAAGAATACTATGCCAAGATATCAATACTGTACTGGTAATATTTTAAACACACCAGTCATCCAGTATCTCAGTTACACTAAAACTCAATGATAAAATCACTTACTTGTGTTTTCCAGAGAACGCAGTATCTCGTAATCTGGTGGTGACTCTTCTTGTGTTTTCTGTGTAGATTGTTTTTGAGTATTCCTTCCAATGTTCTTTTGGTAAGTTCTTAATTTTTCCCTAAGATTTTCAAAGTTGAGGTCTTTATAACTTGATTCAGCATTTACCCATGCTAAAAATTTACTTCTGTTTTCACTGGAGACATTACAGTCTTTAAGAAAGAGGGAACAGATGTGTAACTGATTTGGTGCTGACATATCTGATTGTAAAAAGTAAGAAGGAAATCCTTGAACTTGATAGCTCCTTGATCCTACCGGCTTCACCTGTACCTTCACTCGCCACCAAGCACCCATTAACGGAAAACGTCCAAACACTTCACATTGCTGGTGAGTATTTTCATCAAAAATTGAAACTTTAAAAAAACAAAAAGTTAATTTAGGATAAATTTAAAATCTCTTCCCAATGTTTTGTCAAATCCACTACTCTCTTTAATCCCTGGACAGTACCCTCTACAGATGTCTATTACAGTGTCTATATTCCACTTAGCTGTTTATCTGTCTCCCTCTACTACACTGCAAGCTCTCTAGAACATGACAATGTTTCATCTGTTTTTGTATTCCAGGAGGGAGGCATGGTACATGGCAAAAGTTTGTTGTTCCTCTTCTAAAAGCAGTCCTCTCTCTGCTACTCTGATCTCAGTCAATACTGACCTTCAAGCAGTTTCTAAAAAATGTCATGGTCCCTCCTACCCAGGGCCTTTGCAAAAGCTGTTCCACTTGCCTTAAATAATTTCTTCCTTACTGTTTACCCCATTTACTACAGACCTCAGCTTAATTGTCGCTTCCTCAGGAAAGCCCTGAATCTCATGAATATAACCTCTCATAGCACTTCTTACTATTCCTTCTAAGCACTGAGTGATATTATAGTTACTTCTGTGATTATTTATAGAATGTTTAATTCATTAGAGGGTGAGCTCCATTAAGACAGCAACCTCATCATCTAATCTCTCCAAGGTAGCCCAACAAAACAAACACATTGCTTGGAAGATGGTAGCCAATCACTAACACTTTCAGGATAAATGACTAAACCCTCCACAAATACTTAAAAGTTTCTGTGGAAACCTGTATTGGCCACTCACCTGTGACTATTTAAATTTAAATTAATTAAAATTTAAAATTCAACTCAGGTGCACTAGCTGCATTTCAAGGTCTCAATAGCCACATGTGGGTAACAGCTGTTGTACTGGACAGAGCAAATACAGAGCAATGCCATCACCAGAAAAATTCTACAGTACAGCAGTGGTCTGAACATTCAAACATTCTCAAACATCAGTCACCAGGTACACATAATAGGTATAATTCTTAGGACAGGAAACTATACAAGGTAAACACAGATCACAAGGTTATTAACACAAGGTTAATGAATCAACAGTGCCTTGGGGTGTTTCTTATGTGCGTGTGTGTCTAAGTAGGTGAAAAGTAACCACATACTCGACTCCAGGAAAGACAGGAAAATAGTTAAAAGCCCTGATTCGGGGTGTGAATACTGGCTGGAGATCCATTGTTTCCTCGACTAAGAAACTACCTGAAAAAGTTGTCATCAGTAAATGAGATACACGTGGAGCCCAAGCTTAACACACAGTATTTGCTCAAGTCTCTGCTATTCTTGTGGTTGTTGCTGTTTTTATTTTATCCTAAACAGGACGAAACAGCTAGGCCATCCCAAAGGAAGTCTATTAGCAGCGATGGGGCGCCTTACTTGGGACGAGGCCATAATGGGAAACAGTTCATTAATCCTCCAAACCCATTCCCAGGGGCGAGTTGCTTCCTCACCACGGAGTCGACCAGGGAGGCTGCTCGCTTTTACACCCCCACTGCAGAGCTCCTCGGCATCGACAAACACCGTGTCTTCCTCCTCCTCCGCATCCTCCCTCAGATAATCATCTTCCTCCTCCACCAGGTCCTTGGAGGGGAGCAAAGGTCCCTGTAGCTCGCGCAAGGGCTGACTCAGAGAAGCCATACTCCACTCTCCCCAGCTCAACCCAAATTCCGGGAAACCCGGGCTACGTAGCGCCCAAGAACACCCAATCAGCTCCGCGACTGTAGGACCGTCAGCTTCCAGGGGGTTGGGCAAAATGTATGAAGTGGGTTAATTGTATGGTGACGGATCGCAACTAGACTGTAGTGGTGATCACGCTCTAGTATATACAGATGTTGAACTATAATGCTGTACATATGTTTTTTGTGTTTTTTTTTTTTGCGGTACGCGGGCCTCTTACTGCTGCGGCCTCTCCCGTTGCGGAGCACAGGGTCCGGACGCGCAGGCCTAGCGGCCATGGCTCACGGGTCCAGCCGCTCCGCGGCATGTGGGATCCTCCCGGACCGCGGCACGAACCCGTGTCCCTTGCATCGGCAGGCGGACTCTCAACCACTGCGCCACCAGGGAAGCCCAATGCTGTACATCTGAAACTTATTTTCTAAAAAAGCACCATCAGCTTTCGCAAACGCTCCCACTCCCCAGGCTGCAAGCTTGCGCGGAGGGGCGGAGCGGCGGCGAAGCTCCGCCCCAAGCTCCCAGCGGAGGACCGGGATTGGGTGGGGTGGGTCGAGGCTCAGCGGGGGCGGGCAAGGGGCGGAGCGGATGCGGGGGCGGGGTGATCTCTCCCGCTTCCGCCCTGCAGCCAGACTTGAGGCTTCGCCAGGTGCCCGGAGGAAACCAGGTGATTGGGCAGCGGCATACGGGCACTTGCAGAGCAGCTAACCCACTGCGACTCCTGCATAGAGAGAAACGCGAAGGAACGACAATCTAGTGACCCCAGAGAACCTGGAAAAGCAAGCCCTTCCCCGATGCCTCCAAAACGAAAACCCAGGTGCCCTTCGGCCAGCACCCAAAGCGCAGAACCGCGAATCTGCAATCGGGAGACCCGCCTAGTCGTGACTCCTTTGGGCCTCTGTTTTCGTCAGGTGTTGAATTTATATGATCAAAGGCACTTTACTCAAGGTACAGATCTCTAGGCCCCATTCAATACCCATTGTATCGGGATCTAGGGCAGAGACCCAGGCTTCTTTTCAACCCACGTCCCAAGTTGTAGATTTTGATGCTCAGCCAGGTTTGGAAAGCACTACATTAGATGACTTTCAAAGTCCTCTTTATCATTTCCTCTGTGAGTACACCCAGGCCTCCCAAACTTCTTTAAGCTGGGCTGCTGCCTGCTTGCAGTGGGGCAAAAAAGTCTAGTTACAGCCCGGGGTATAGACAGGAGTGAGGGAAAGCAAGTAGAAGAGAACAGTGGTTTAAAAGTTATTCTGGAGCCATGGTTCCCATACTTGATGGGGATAGTGTTTGAAAGTCATGGTACTTCTTGAGGAACACCATAAAATATATTACATTACTATCTTGATACTATTTATTATGAAATTAATCAATAATAAAATAACTAAGCATACACTGTTTGCTAAATCCAAAAGCATCTTATTCTAATATAAATAACAGCCACCACCAAAGTTTTTTTGTTTGTTTAATTTATGGGACCATAGACCTGAAACTAACACAGCTTTGTAAATCAATTATACTTCAATAAAAAATAAAGTTCTTTTGTTCTTTTTTTAAAAACTTACGGGGGAAATTACTAAAATTGATTTTTTTTCCTTTGGGTACAAATGTTGACTGTTGTTGCTTTTAGAAACACCCTCTGTTGCATCAGTGTTTCCAAGGATCGTCTATATGAGGTGGAACGCCTTCCTTAACACTCAGGATGGCTGCTGTTTCCACCACAACATGGAATCTGATCTGACAAATGTCTCACCACTGGTCTCTTTGTTACTAAATGCAGTGGATACCTTTCTGCCTTTGTCTTGCCTCACCTCTCAACAGTATTTGACACAGATAACTATTTTCTTCTTGTAACACTCTGCTTCCTAGGCTTTTGTGACTTGTCTTCTTAGGTTTTCCTCCAACCTCTCTGGCCATTTATAGTTTCTTTGGGTTCTTCTACTGGCCTCTTAAGTCCTTGTGTTCCCCAGGGTTCCATCCTAAGCAACTTCTCACTCTGTAATCCTTCCCTCAATCATCTTTCACCTACTCTGTCACCTACATGCTAATGACCCCAACCTAATCTCCAAACCTGTGCAAACAACTGCCTATTAGATGCCAGGACTGGATGCCCCTTGGCTCCCTCTGACTCAATGCATCCAAACTGAAAGCTCTGCTGCCCAAATGTGGTCCACTTATGCCTTTATACATAAGATAACCTTGTTACCAACAGGATGATTTAGGCACAAGACTCCAGATGTTAAGCTTCTGTTTATATAACTCAGTTGCATTCTACTAGGTAGTGTAGGTTAGGATTCAGGATGGTGAGGACTTTGCTTCTTTACCTGTTGATTCCTCATTTTTTAAAACGTTAACAATTCTAGGTTCCTGGATACCATCTTTACAGTACACAGTAAGCAACAATACTCAAACCTGGCTGTGCATCAGAATCACTTGGGATGTTTCTAAAAATATGATTCTTGAAGCTACATTTCCACAAACGTAAGACAACATAGGCATAAGGTTATTCACTGTATAACTTTTGTAGTAGCAAAGGACTGCATACAGTAGTAATGTGTACCAGTAAGAGACCTATTGAATAAACTATTGTACATCCACACCGTGGAGTATTCTTCAGCAATTTTATAAAAGAAAGAATGAGGAATACCTTTTTGAACTTCCAGGATATTATGTTAAGTAAGAAAAAAGACATAAAACAATGAAAATAGTTTTATGTGTTTGCATATGCTTCTTTCTGCAAAAACAAAACAAGCAAACAAACACAGGGAACATAAACCAGAATTTTATGAAAATAGTTACCTACAGATAGAGTGGAAACAGGATAATGGAGAAAAAGATGGGAACAAGATCTCGGAGTAACTTTTTATAATGGTTTTGACTTCTGAACCGTGAAAATGTTTCACATATTCAAAAATAAACAAAATCAAAACCTAAAATTGAACACAAACAGAAATAAAGGAAACTGTCTATCAAATGGATAACATAACCTCTCAGGCAAAAAAATTACTTCAAGTTACTTTTGAATACTTTGAATAAATATTTTAAGTTACTCTATATACCCTTAGTAGGTTATATTCTGAGGACAAAAGATCTACAAAATAATCTTAAAATTTACCACACACTGGGCTTCCCTGGTGGCGCAGTGGTTGAGAGTTCGCCTGCCGATGCAGGGGACACCGGTTCGTGCCCCGGTCCGGGAGGATCCCACGTGCCGCGGAGCGGCTGGGCCCGTGAGCCATGGCCCCTGAGCCTGCGCGTCCGGAGCCTGTGCTCCACAACGGAAGAGGCCACAGCAGTGAGAGGCCCGCGTACCGCTAAAAAAAAAAAAAAAAAAAAAATTTACCACACACTATCGGTTAATGTTAATTGTAATATTGTTATTGTAATTTGAATACAATGTGTATCGTAGGATAAAGCAAACAAGTAAATGTCTTTGAGTTTTATCAAAGGAAGGTTTTTAATGTACATGAAGAGAAATACAAACATAGAATAAAAGTTAAGAAAAACTCCTATAGCATTATACCTGAGCTGGAAATATCAATATGAGCTTGTGATTTCTTAAAATATATATCCTAGCTCTGTCTACTGAAAGGGCCTGAAAGTAACGTCACCCCAGTAACTCTGATCACATCTACCACCTTCATCTTGGTTTTGGAATGCCATTTCTTATTAAAAGAAATGGAGGCTTCTTAAGAAATGGCTGGGGCTTCCCTGGTGGCGTAGTCGTTAAGAATCCGCCTGCCAATGCAGGAGACGTGGGTTCAAGCCCTGGTCCGGGAAGTTCCCACATGCCGCGGAGCAACGAAGCCCGTGCACCACAACTACTGAGCCTGCGCCCTAGAGCCCACGAGCCACAACTACCGAAGCCCCAGTGCCACAACTACCGAAGCCCAAGTGCCACAACTACTGAAGCCCATGTGCCACAACTACTGAAGCCCGCGTGCCTAGAGCCCGTGCTCCGCAACAAGAAAAGCCACCACAATGAGAACCCCATGCACCACAACAAAGAGTAGCCCCTGCTTGCCGCAACTAGAGGAAGCCCGCGCCCAGCAACTAAGACCCAATGCAGCCAAAAATAAATAAATTAATTTTTTAAAAAAAGAAGGGCTGATTCCACCTCTGGGACAGGAAAGTACAAGGTGGCCCTAGGATTTCCTGTACCAGAAGGCACTCAAAAGCTAATAGGGTTATGATAAAAAGGATTCAGGAGCCAGCTTGAAGGGCATCCCACTAGCCAAATTTAGAGACGTTTGAGTAACAAAAAGAATAATGACTGCACTTTATTTTAACACACTGAGCAAATGAAAACTGATGTGTCCATTGTGATACTCACTAAAAAAATTTTTTTAAGGAAAAGAAGAAAAGAATGTCAGTTAAGGAATTTAACTGACATTAAATAAGAGTATGGAGAGTAGTATAGAGGTTCCTTAAAAAACTGAAAATGGAGTTACCATATGAGCCAGCAATCCCACTCCTGGGCATATATTCGGAAAACACAAAAATTCTAATTCGAAAGGATACATGCACCCCAATGTTCGTAGCAGCACTACTTACAATAGCCAAGACATGGAAGCAAACTAAATGTCCATCGACAGGTGAATGGATAATGAAGATGTGGCACATATATACAATGGAATATTACTCAGCCATAAAAAGAATGGAATAATGTCATTTGCAGCAACATGGATGGACCTAGATATTATCATTCTAAGTGAAATAAGTCATATAGAGAAAGACAAATATCATATATCACTTATATATGGAATCTTAAAAAAATGATACAAATGAACTTATTTACAAAACAGAAATAGACTCACAGATACAGAAAACAAACTTATGGTTACCAAAGGGGAAAGGGGAGGGGGAGGAATAAACTAAGAGTTTGGGATTAACATATACACACTACTATATATAAAATAAACAACAAGGACCTAGTGTATGGCACAGGGAACTATATTCAATATCTTGTAATAACCTATAATGGAAAAGACTTTGGAAAAGAATATGTATATAACTGAATCTCTTTGCTGTACACCAAAAACTAACACAACATTGTAAATCAAGTATACGTCAA